GGAATGGTAAACCACGGTGGCTGGAGTAATAATAATGGTTTCCTAGAAAAAATTATAAAAAAAAAAAAAAAAAAAAAAAGACTCAACTGCATGACAATGTACACACATCACTGCAAATATAACGTGTCAGTACGTCAACAAGGAACTGAGATGAAAGAGATACGTCTCCTAATAATCGGCTTATTTCGTCATGACGGGTAAATGTCATCAGTTAAGTCTAGAACGCTGACGGATCCTCAGCCTGTTTGAACGTTTTCTTACCTCCTCCATTGAGGCCATCTTTTCCATATCGGTCATAAAGACTCCTTTTGTTTTCTGGGAGAGAAAAAAAATGTACGTGAGAAAAGATAAACTGAAAATTTTAACATATGACCTGCAAGATTTAATTTTGCATCGACTTCGCTCCCTCCCCCATTTTGGATACCTGCCTTTTCTTTGTTAAAAAGGTTAACATCATGTCAAACTACACAACGAGAAAAATATGAATGCCTTTCATAGTAGTGCAAATAAAATAAAAAAAATTTAAAAAAAAAAGACAAAACCATCTCTTCTTTTGAGGTTAAATCATGACTGTATTTTTAATTTTCCTTCTTAAAATCCCTTGTTGATAATCACGTACAAAACGTTGCTTGCTTGCAGTTCCAGTTAATCCTGTTTGGTAAAACACTTGCAGGAGCAGTTTTTCCTGTTTGGTAATTTAGGTGGAAAACATTTGGCTTGTTTGGGAACATCAGGATTTATTATACACAACATTTACAAATCATCAAATTCCACAACATCCAACAAGTTCTGATGCTTAGCAAACCAATATTATAAAAGGCTTTTATATTTAGCAAATAGTGAAAGCTTTTTATTTTTAACAAATCAAAATCTGTAAATTTGAGGTTTATATAAAAGCCATAGAGTCCATCAGCGTTATTCTGCCACTTCCAGACACGAGTGAGACATCCAGAGATGTTTTATTTATGAAACGGCTTAACAGGTTACCTTCATAAGCCAAACATGGCTGTCAGACTGCCTGTGTCAAACTAAATGAGGAAAATCATAATAGACTTTTCTGAGAGAAAAAAAAAAAAGAAAAAAAAAAAAAAGGAGATATGCATTCCAGAAGTCCGACATGGTGCAATGGAAAAAAAAAAAAAAAACACAGGAACTGCCGCTGCAGGCATCTTCTTTCACCACTGCGACATTTACAACTGGATTTCCTCTGTTCTTCACAACCAATAGTAGTATAACTCTTCAAAGTGCAAACTGGAATTAAAGGAACAATCTGACTGCTGGTTGCATTTTTCAAGAGAGGTGTTGCTATGCTTTTGAAAAGTTAGCAACCTTATATAACAATTGTAGAGTTGCAACAAGCAGAATGTTGTCTTGAAAGGGATTTACGAGTCTTTTGTTTCCCTTTTTCACCCTGCAGGGTGTTCATTTAGTCCTTGAGCTCTTCACTCCTTTTTCATTTTGAAGAACAAACTTTTTTTTTTTGAAAGTCAAATAACTAAAGACTTAACTGTATTCCCTGCAAAACTGAAGTGAGGCCTTCCATAAAAACTAAAAAAAAAAAGACTTGTAGTTCATTACTAAGTAACTTTAAAACAGATTTGAAAAAAAAAAAAAAAACATACCAAATCAATATTTTATAAACTGTTGTCTCCCAAACAAAACCACTTTATGTGAATAATGAGTAGAAAAAAATCTGAGAGGGTAGAGTCAACATATCAGGGATAAAAACAGAACATTTGAAGTTAAAATAGACCCATCTTACCGTCTGACAGGACTTCATAAGCCTCTGACAGCTCTTTGAATCGTCTCTCTGCCTCTTCCTTGTTGTCTGGGTTCTTATCAGGATGCCATTTCAATGCCAATTTTCTATAACTGTGAGGGGAAAAAGAAACAGTTAAAACAAGCAGCATATCATATATACACAAATACGCCAAAAAAACAAAAAAAAACAAAAAACAAGTAATACAGAGGTGGGACAATCAGCTGTATCAGAGGTATAGAAATCAATCAGCCAGAGATGAGAATTGACCACTTTTACACTCAGTTTATCCACTGAATGCATCGCAACCAAGAATTCCCACCTTGTTTGGTCTACAAACACATCAGCCACCAGCATTTACTTTACACACTTCTTTGAATTTAATAATAAAAAAAAGATACATACTACCTTCACTTTCATACATGACGTACTTTAATATTGAATTTAGAAAAATAAAATAGATTATTACAGTCACATTATGTATAAGATTCATTTATTGCCAGATAAGCTTATATCAGCATTTATCCGATATTGCTTGTTTGACAAGTAGTTTTTTGCTCTTATCCCTCGTTTCCATTTGAACAAATTTTTTTTATACATATCCGTCTTTCCAAAGAATCCCAAATTAAAATTTTGAGACAAGTTGGGATCTCTTGCTCTTTAATGAAAAAGGCTATTCACGAGTAAGAAAACATCCAGGATGTTTGCCAGTGTTTCCAGGAGTGGATGTACAAGCAAGTTCATTCTGAGGTCAGACAGAACAATGCTCCAATTAAGTACACACACACACACACACACATACATACTCAGAAAAAAACAAAAAACAAATGCAGCTTAACCTGCACATGCCTCCATCAGAATGCTAAAAGTCCAAGACAGTACAGTTGGATGAAGACTAAATATGTATAACTTGTTCAGTCTTGTAGGGATTGTCAGGGAAAACCTTCTTCCCCATCTAAAGAACACATTACAGCGCAGACACACAACGTCTAGATTAAAGCGTACAAGGTTGTCTTGATGTGCAGTTTTGGCTTTCACTCTATTTGATGCTTTACTTTATGGTGGTACATCTGATATTGAATGCAACTCCGTTCCAGGACGGTTCAAAAAGAAAAAAGAAAAAACAAGCTTCAACCCCTAAAATAAACTTCTATGCGTTCTGACCTCAATGAGCTACAGGAATGTTGGAAACATAAGGAGGCCATAATTCCTCCACAACACTGCTAAACTCACACAAACCACAAAACCTTTTAATTTACGACCTGTACAGATTTCACACGGCCCTTCCGTCTTTCTTACTGCTGCTCATTTCAGACTTGTATTTAAATAATTATACAACCCAGTTAAAAACCAGATGACTTCGTTTGTCACACGTGTAAAATACATCCCTCTGTGGAGAAACGCACGGTCACGTCGGGGGGTGGGGGGTGTTGTTTGGAGGCAGTGACCATGACGACGCCAAACCCAAATGGACAGAGACGGCCCCCCTTCCCGAGCTGATTTAACAAAGACAGACTGAACTGCATTGACCAGCAGAGTGGGCCTTGCAGAGCGGCTTACGCTGCATCAGCCGTTTGTTTCCAAGCCCGGCAGCAGCAGAAACACAGAAGCTGCCGATAAGACAAGGGACTTAAAAAACGAACGGGGGTGGTTGGGGGGCTCGTACTATTCAGGGGATTCAACCCCTTTGGTGAACAGGTTTTGTTGCTCACATCTGTGTTGTAATCTGTCTTATTATCTTGCTGTCAAAAGCCTGTTTGAGTGGTCAGAGGGCAGACCAGGTCAAACAAAGCAGACTGCTTGGTAATTGTGCAACATCCCAATCAGTCAGTTCACCAGGAGGGGAAAAACAGGCAGCAAGTGCAAACTTCAGAGTAATCTACATTCCACTGAGGTCAGTTGCTCTTAGAAATGTCATGTAGCAAGGATGAAACAGTTTCTGGTCTTATTAAAAAAAAAAAAGTTTAATCGAAATTTTGTTAGAAATGCAGTTTCAAAATGAAGACTTGATTTTCCAAGTAATCCACTAAGTTTTTTTTAACTGACCATCAAACACGTCATTTCCAACCTGATTAAGATCCGAGTGACCCAATCCTGAACCTCAACAAGAGTGGTGGAGTCATTCTGATGTGGATTCCTTATTTTTAAACAATATCCCCAACAATGTCACAATTTTATGTCTTCAAAATATCATGCAAGCTGCGAGCTCCGATTCAATCAGCTCTTCTTCAATAAACTCCGAGACGAGTCCAAGATGATCTGCGGTACAGACCGGACCGGAATTTGTGAGTTAGTATGTAAACTATAAAAACTGATGTTCGATATGGCAAAGACGCTAAATAAACCAGAGCCCAGGCAAGTATCGTTTTCCCTCTCAATAAACGGCAGACATCGCTCCATAGTAGACGGGAGCAGCTTTTGTTTTCTCCAACTTTGCATGGAAACATGCAAATTACTACCACAATTTTCACCAGACAACATATTCCACAGACAAAAGTTTTACTTTCACCTATTAATTTTCTGCTTTAGAAGAAATGCTCTTGTTTTGTCCTTTCCAACTACGGTGAGGTAACCGCTGTGATAAGATTAAAAGTGATTATTTAAAAAATAATAATAATTACAACTTCTTTTAGGTCTTTTTTTTTTTTTAGGCAACTGTCTGGTTGTGACTCCTGTTACAACCCCACAAACACAAACACTGCTCTAAAAACAAATAAAAAAAGACCTACACTTCGTCAAGCCTCATCTCTAGCAGATGACCAAGTTTTATTTCTTTCCTTAACTGGACTGGTCACTAGGTGACTCAAAACTCATCTTTCCTGCGTGCCAACTTATCCAAGTACAGGCTGCAATATTTCCTTATTGCATACAATAAGAGGCTGACAAATTGAAACATCAGCAGAAAGCAAAAAAAACAAACAACACAAAGCAGCAAACACGCAAGCACTTACGCTTTTTTTATGTCCTCTTGCGATGCATTCTTTTGGACTCCCAATATCTGGTAGTACTCCACCATGGCTCCGTCTGTTTTTGTGCTGATTTACTTCAGGCTCTTCTGACTGGCCTGTGTGGGAAGAAATACACTTTGTTAGGAACTAAGTGATTAAATCAAGCTCAACAAAAAAAAAAAAAGCAAAAGAGCAAAGTCATGTGTGACCTGCAGGATTCCTACACTCCTGATCAGAGAGAAGAACCATATTTTAAAAGTGTGGAAAAACCCAACGCTGTTGCTCTGTTCGCTTGAAAGATGACAGCTTAGCTACCAATGTAAGCCAAGCAAAATGACACCACTGAGAACATCCTTCAAGCCTGAGGCTCTAAGAGACTATGAAAAATGTTTCCCTTTAATTTTTGAAGTTCGCTGTAGAGCCATAAATCAAGGAGTTATGAAACTCCTGACAAAAAAAAAAAACAAAACAAAAAAAAAAACATGCCAAGACAAGTCTGATACAAATCAAGAGACTATCAGATTGAGATTTTTCACTCAGCGTGAACCAGCATATAAATCTGCTTTCCTCACATAGTAACAAATCTATATTTACAGGTAAAAGGTAATTTTATTTATATAGCGCATTTTCAGCAACAAGGCAATACAGAGTGCTTAAATTTTTAACTACAAAACTGGGACAGATTTAACTTTATGAGGCTGCTACAGTTTACACATGACAAAGTACTTTTAAGTTTAGTAAAACCTTAACCTAGAAAAAAAAAAAAAAAAACA